ATTTTTGAAATTTAAATACTAGAAGCTTCTACATTACAACTAAAACCTACCAGTTTATCGTTGGAAATTTAAACAATTTTGAATAGCACACTAATATATGACCTCCTACATTGAACTATGCATCAGACAACGTTGATCACTATATCATAATTTTGATGAAATTAAAATAAAAAAAATAAAAATTACAAAATCTATGTAATTCTTATTTATATTCATGTACAATAGTTATTTATTTTTAAAATGTACAAATTAAAAATAGGTTTTATATAAACCGTGAATCGCACGGGGTTCTAACCTAGTTATTAATATGTAACAAACTTTTTTTTTCTTTTTTAATTCGATCAAATTGGAAATAGGATTATGTATGTTAAAATTCAAATTTCTATCTTATCTATTATCTTGATAAAATTATTATTTATTTTCTTATGAAAATAATGACAAATAAAAGTTTTAGGAGGGAATTTTTTTAATATGGTATTGACACATGTAATCTAACAATTATGTTGGGGATTACTTTAGTATATTAGTGTAGATTGATTATTGAATGATTATTGATTCATATACTAATTTGATCATCATTTTTTTAGTAACATATTTGAAACAAATTTTATTATGAACCCCTTAAATAACCTCCAACCGTGAGTAACCCCTCGAGTAACAATTCTTGACCAATCAAGTAAACACTCTAGTAGTCTCAGACCGAAACACTCAAGTAACCCCAAACTTCTCAAGTAACCTCTGACCAATGGCGAAGGAGATAGAAAATAACTTTTCTTGAATAGAACATAATAATTTATTTGTTTTTTTTTTTACAAGTTCGTTTTTCAATTAATCAAATTATAATATAAAATATAAAAAAGAAGTAAAATATAAGAAATATAAATGACAAAGTACTATTCATATCACATTCCTTAATTTTTGTATTAGCCATTATTGTCAGTTAATACTTTAATAATTTATTTGTTAATGTAAATAAGTCCATTATTACTACAAATTTTTTTTGGTGTAGCAGGCCTCATCATGCGACAGGGGTTGCCCGAGTTTTTTTGTTAGGGGTTACTTGAGTTTTTCAATCAAACTTTACTTAAGTTTTTCAGTCATGGGTTACTCGAGTTACTCGCTCAGGGGTTACTTGAGTTACTCGCTCAGGGGTTACTTGAGTTTTACCCATTATAATCACCAAAATACTCGAGTAACCCTTGACCGAGAAACTCAAGTAACCCTTAACCTAGAAACTCAAGTAACCCCCCTGACCGAGAAATTCAAGTAAACCATGTTGCAGGGTACAACATACCTGTAGACACCCATTTGTGTCTCCCCAAAACCAAACCGAGTGATGAGTGCCTTTCACGTCGAATCGTAATCGAATGAAACGAAAGTGTGGAAAGGTCTAGTGTTGCGGAAAGTTTTATTTCTTTTCTCTTCTCCCTGTTTTTGAAAACTTTATTTTAAGAAAACAGCCAATCCAGTTTGGTTGGTCCATAATATGGGTCCAATAGTAGTATAGTTGGATGGGGCTTGCAAAGACCTTTCCAACGATATATTATAAGCCCAATTCCGATGAATATTGAGGAAATTATGGCCAATTTACTAAACTGGGCCCGGTTTGAGTTTTAAGTACGACCCTATGATCTAGGGGAGGACCTAATATAATTTATCATTCCTAATGAAATTAGGAATGGTTTTAGTCTTCTAGAATATTCTAGAAGGTTCTTTTCATCTTAATTCAATTAGGACTCTTCAGAGTTTTAATTAGATCAAATAGCATTTTCGATTGAAATTATATCTTCCAGTACGGTAAGTTTATCAGTTTTTCGAAAACGCGTTGAAAGCCGATTTGGCGTCCAACCCCAGGCCTTGGCGCCAGACGCCAGCATTGGCGCCTGGCGCTAGCCACTGGTTCTGGCGCCAATGAGCCAGGGCTGGCGCCAAGGTGTTTTTGTGGTCTTCAGACTCTATTTTGATAAATTATCTTTTTTGGATGATTTTCTCTATAAATATCATATCAAAAACTCCGTTTTCATTCACGGATTGTCAATATTCATTCACCATTCATTCATCTACATCTATCGATTCACCAATTCTCTTTATTCTTAAGTTTTAATAAACTCCGTTTTCAAACATCAACTTTCTTCATTCATTAATCAACTCTCATCAAGATTTTCTTGATTATTCTTTCTCTCTCCCTTTTTCTAAACTAGCCTTTTCTCAAATAAATAATTCCGCATTCATTAGATCTTGATACACCTAGCCATATTCGAAGTTGCCTTCGCCCTAGACGTGAAAGATTTTAATTTCTGAGGGTTTGGTCCCAAATCTCTCTTTCAATTATTTAATTTAATTGTTTTGTTTATTATTTTCCTTGAAGTTACTAACGTGTGTATTTTGTTATTAGAAAGAGGTACGAGGCATCCAATTAAGTATTTTATTGGTTTAATTGATATTATGATGTAGAAATCATGCTTAGATTGTTATTTTGATTTCTAGTATCATGTCTAGGGTAACTTTAATATCAAGTATGATTAAAAGTACGATGCTTCCTATATTCTTCCTAATATTAATTCATGTTAGTATCATGTTAGGGCTAAAGATTTGATTTTTATTGCTTAGTGACATGCTAGGGTTTGTTATTAATCTTGTTAGTATCATGCCTAGGATTTTGCTGTGCTTTAACATGATTATGATGATTATGATTATGATTAGTAATATTATTATTAATGATGTTGATTATTTATTATGTTGCTTGATATATATTATATATTGTTATTGCTTGATCACCTTTTATTGCAGGTTAAAGGGAATTGGTATTTGCAACCACGCTTAATAAGATAATTAATAATCTTGTTTAAGGTTAATATGATTATAATTCAAGTGATCGCCAATAATAGATTTGTTTGTGCATTAAAATTCAACCAACATAGATTAAATAGGTTTAGGGTTAATCCTATTGATTGTATGTTAGTCAGAAAGCGCACATGAATACGAGCAGAATAAAGTAGAGGCCTATTATTAGGGCAGGTTCAATCTCTTTTAGGTTGGATTTGTACCATCATCCCCGAACCCTTATTTGGTTCATGACCTTATGGAGTTGGCGATCTCTTGGATCGTTAAGGGGTGTAACCTTCACCTCGTGAACGGTTTACAAGTTCCTTAAAAACTTGTTGGCGACTCTTTTGCTCTATCTTCTTCCCTTTTGGACGCCACCGTACTTTAGTGTATGATTACAGTGGGGTTCAAGCTAGTGGGATTTTAAAGGCTTGAAATTATTTCCTATAATACCGCATATAAAAATTTGTGTTATTACTAATTCATATATTATTTATCAATATAGATCTATACATACATATTTATGTTGTATATTCACTCAGTTTTTGGTTGTGCAACTGTTATGTGATTTTTTAGCACAATGCTTAGACAAAATATATACAGGTAGATAAGATATAAGGGTACTTAGCTTGTATAGTGCATAATGATAAATTATGTATATAGATTTGGTGATTATAATGGGTAAAATAGATATTATATTGTATAACTATTGAACCGATTAATATGACGATAAAATTTTAGTTTTGAATCCCTCTACAGACTACGGGTAACAGGAAACGACTTTCTTAGCTTGTATAGTGCATAATTTATTCATTCTTAATCAATAAAATAACAATGCAAAAAAAATGAAAGGGAATAAAATAAAAGCAATGCAAATGACATAAAATTCATATATAACATTCCGTAATAAATGTATTGACCATTATTGTGGTGATTGGTGAATAGAATTTTAATAATTATTATTTCTTTGAAACAATTTTATTAATTAATTTGTTAATGCAAGTTTGTCTAATTTTACTAATTGAATTATTTTTGATTTGTTTTTATGAAATTAAACTTTTAATTTTTAAACCACAATGACTAGTGTATATATATATTGTGGTTGAAGAATACTCCGTACTATTGTGGTTGAAGAATACTCCGTACTATGTAAGACTGCGTTCACTTGACCTTAAAAAAATATCCAGTAAAAATAATTTAAGTTCAGTAAAATTAGTAACTCTAGAGAAGAAATATAATAAAGAATCAGTGAAAATACAATTTAGCAAAAATAATTTCAGTTTAGTAAAGGTAATTTCAGTTTAGTAAAAATAATTTAAGTTCAACAAAAAATAATTTCTATTTGGTAAAAATAATTTCAATTCTGCAAAAATAAGGTAATGTGAACCTGACCTAAAGTTTAAAGTATGAATAGCTAGGGGTGAGCATGAGACGGGTACCCGTACAGTTAGTACTAACAGTTCGGGTACCCAATAACCAAAATCACTAAAAGTGATACCCATATCCGCAACCGATAAGTCGGGTACCCGAATTTTCGGATCGGTTATCGGGTACCCAATAAGATATCCGATAATGATAATTAAACTTATTTATATAGTGATTATGTTAAAATTTACAACTAATTAAAAACAATACCATATGATTTTGACCAAATTATTAATAATATTACTAATCATTGATATTATAAGTGATTATGAAATAAAGTAAAAGCTTAGATATATATTAATAGATTTAAGTAAGGAAAAAAAGCAAAAAAATGCTTATCGGATCGGATCGGGTAACCGTTAAGTTTAAAATGATACCCATAACCATACCGGATAACAAATTATCGGAAAGGATACCCAAACCGTTATGGTTATCGAATCGGGTACCCTAATTTTCGAAACGGTTTTTCGAATTTTCGGGAAGTTTTGCTCAGCCCTAAATGAATAGCCATATTTATGTGACAAACCTTATTTCTTTTCCTTATGATATCTAGCATAGAGGTTTTTTTTTTATTTTATTATTTTTTTTTTAAAAAAGAAGGTTTTATAAAAAAAAAAAAAAGGTTTCAGATAAATAGAGACGGCTTATAAATGGAAACATACGGATCGGAGTATTAATCTATTTAGAAATTAATATAGGGATAACCTATGTACAACAAATTATTTTAGTGATAGAAATCGAATAGTTACCAAAAGGTGGGAATTTGATAATTGCAAGATGAAGAGGCGTCTCCTTGGAATAGTTGGTAACACGAGCAAGCTCAGGATACTTCTCCAGCAACAATTTAGGAATCTCATCCCAATTGTAATTGATAATTGCAACATGTAACGGCGTATTGCCTTCTTTATTCTTCAACCTCCATGCCTGCCATTGTATACTTTCATCAAGGAGCACCTTGAAAATTTTGGCATCACCCAATGCTGCCGCAGCATGAAGAGGGGTGTTTCCATCATTGTTGGTTACACCAACCAACTCAGGTTGCTGCTTCACCAACCATTCAGCAACCTTAAACTTGCGTTTGATAAGTGCAACATGCAACGGCGTGTTGCCGTCTTTATTCTGGACACTCCAATCAAGCGGTTTCGCTTCCTTGTTGGCCTCCGAATGCCCCTTTCCATATTCAAGTAGCTTTTCGAATGCCTCGATGTTTGTTTGGGTTTTTTTAGGGGGGAAGCAATTAAATCAGTTAATTAATAAATTGGTTTCACCTTCGCATCTTTATATATACTACTAGCTTAGCTTGCTGGGGATCTTAACTTGCTCACATTCCTTACGTAATGATTGAGTAAGATATGTTTCTTTTTAAAGGAAGATTGTAAGAATTCCTTTTAACAAATTAGTTTGTAGCTTCATTTTATTTCTCAACATAATCTACTTTTCATTTTTCTTTTGTATTGGTTCATCAATTACGTTATTTTATCTTTAATACTCCCTCCGTTCCAGAATGATGTTCGTTCCTGTTTTGTAAATCGATGCAAATTTTTACCCAACTTTGACCGCAAACTAGCAAAAATTATAAAAGTTAGATATTAATAATCTACTCACCAAGACGAATCAAACTAAATCCCACATGACTATATTTATTCTTATAGATTAAGAGAAATTTAGAAAATTCTCTCTTTCTTAAAAAAGTCAAAGATTTCAAACTAGAACATTATTGTGAAACGGATGGAGTACATGGTATTAAATAGATTTACTTTTAAGCACTCTCTTTGTGTTTAAATGAAATATATCTCTTGTACATGTATGTCAATGCAACACTTTAACTGATAATATCTTTAATTATCAATAAATAAAATTTGTAACAATTGAGTACTAATTAATTATATATTATTTAAGACAATTCCAACAAGTATCCACAAGACTATATTTATTTTTATGTATAAATCACGGATATTAGTCAAAGTGAATTAAACAAATAGGGTAAATAAAAAAGTCAAAACATTTCACTTATATAAACATGGAGGGATAATCATTTTTTTTTATTTCTATTTATCATGCAAAAGAAAACCTGGATAGTGCAAGAACTGAGCTGAACTGAACTAAAATTAACTTATGAGCTGAACTAATTGGAGTTGAACTGAACTGAATAAAACTAAATAAAGCTGAAATGAATATTTTATGAGAGAAGAAAATTAGGAGTTGAAGTGAACTGAATAGAGCTGAAATGAATATTTTATGAGGGGAGAAAATTAGGAGCTGAAGTGAACTGAACTGAAATTAAGCTAAAGTGAATAGCCCTAAGACACACACACACAAAAAAAAAAAAAAAAGGTTTATTTTTGTAATACTCCTTCTATACTTGTTAAAGAATTAAATGTGCAAAATTTGTGTTAATTTCTAAAAAAAAATTTTATTACCTTAAATGAAAATTTCCCTTCATCTAAAGTAACTCTAATGGAGTAATGGTTATATTTAGGGACTTTTTTGCAATATTAAAAAGTCTCTAGTTATAAGAGTGACTATTAGAACTAAATAAAATTAACTTGCTCAAACTAATTTACTTGAGAAATATAAAGTTTCCAAAATATAGGAAATTAATATACTACTAATAAATTAACTTTTTAAAACAAGTTAATTGAGAAAATCAATCTCGTTAAAATAGCAAGATTATACTCCCACTGCTTTTTTAAGTGTTACACTTTTACCGGTATATAATTTTAGCAGTTAATTAATCACACAGTTGGCATATAATGAATAGATCAGATCCGCCCCCGACATGTGACAGGGAGTGGTAATATATATGAAGCCAGCCAATCAATCAGTCTTTCAAACATGCTTTTCACTTTTGCTGATGCCAAACTTACCAAGGTGAAAAGCTTATAGAGACCTCATTTAAGTTTTAGCTTCTTATTGTCAGCTTCTAACATGCCTTGTCATCCTTTTACTCCTTTAATAATGTTCTTTGCTGCATTAACAATTATTGAATATTACTTCACGATGCTCACGTTTCTTTATTTTACTTGTCTTAGTCCATTTTATTATTCCATGTCATGTGACACACATTTACTTTAGTCTTTTATTATTGGATGGACTTTGATTGCATGATCAACAAGATTTGAAATACTAAGTATACAAGATTACAAGTCCTTCTTGTCTGATGCAAAATTTAATTTATTAAATTATGATTGGGTGAAATTATTGAAAGGGAAAAGTAGTACTCCGTAGTAGGGGTGTTCAAAAAAACCCGTCCCGATTGATGACACGACCCGATTTCTCGATAACCCGCAAAAAACCCGATGGGTAATTGTTAATTTTTTTCTATTTTTCGGGACGGGTACCTGACCCGACAAAACAGTCAGTTCACGGGTCGGGACATGGGCCATGATTTACTTCTTGCGGGTACCCGAATTCCGGACAGTATATTAAGAACAGAAAAAAAAGAAGAAAAAAAAAGAATCCTTCCCTTAATTGAGCTGAGCCCAGCCCACTTACTCTCTTAACCACTTAGGGTTTTATTTTTATCACCCCCAAAACAAGTGTAGCTATTCATTCCTTCCCTAATCTCTCTCTCTCACAGCTTCCTCGGTTCATTATTTCAATCATGCCTTCGATCTCATTCATTGAGTTGAACTATCCAACATCAAGAGAATAAGGCTAGCTCACACCCATTCCAAATTACTAGCCAACATCAAGAGAATTAGGCGGCCGAGAGGTCTAACAACAACTGAATTGAACTGCGTCGGCCGAGAAATCTCCCACCACGGCGGCTGAGAGTCCTCCACCGCAAGCAGGCGCGATGGACGGAGAAGCAGATCTTGAAATTTGCTTTTGAATTGTAGTTGCTAAAGGCAAAACATTTTCAATTTTTAATTTTATTATTTTTTCTTCTAGGATTATAGCTTAGTGTGATAGTTTTTTCTTTTTTGAGAAACGAGTTAGATAGTAACTGTTGTTTATAGTGGAAAAATTAATTCAATAATTCAGATTTTTTTTTTTTTTTGGTTAATACTCGTTAACAAAAATGTAAGTTAGAGAAATTAAAATAAAAAAAAAAAGTAAGTTGGTATATCCGGGTACCCTATGTCCCGACCCCAGAAAAACGGGTACCCAAAACTCGGGTACCCGATCTTCTCGGGTCGGGACACGGGACGAGATTCAAACTACTCGAAGATTCGGGTACCCGAAATTTCGGGTACCCGAAAACCCGGGTACCGGATTTGAACACCCCTACTCTGTAGTGTGTGTGAGAGAGAGTACATAAAAATTGATATGGCCCCCCATATAAGTTTGTAGCATGAAGTAATCTTGAATGTTGCTGAAAAAGAGGAAAAGAAAAAGAGCAAACATATCAGGTCATAGGGATATGAAACTCTCTTCTTAAATTTTTTACAACCGAAAAGAAATGCAATAGACAAAACAGAATCAATTTAACCGTTTATTTTTAAAAATTATAGTTATCATATTTCAAACAACAAACATAAAATCAAAAGTTGTAACTAATATGTAATTGAGATAGTATATTTAACTCTACATGACATCACATATTCACCTTATTGGGTCTACCATTGTACGAAAATGAGGACAAATAATAAACAACTATATTTATCAATATTAATATATTGTAAATGCGCATTTTTTTTTTGGTAAAAAGACTAATAACCAGTGGCAGTTTCAGTATGGGTTCGGTGGGTGTCTTACTCCATTTTATTATTCCATGTCATGTGACACACATTTACTTTAGTTTTGCCAAGAAAAGAAAAAAAAAACTAAAATCTTTTTGTAAAAGTTTTCATATATATGCAACATATAAGAAATTCAATTAATTTTATTTAAATTGAATACAATTATCGATAAAATCTTACTATTACTCCCTCCGTTTTTAAATACTTGCTCCACTTTCCTTTTTCGGCTATTTTTAAATAATTGCTCAATTTCCTTATTTGGAAAGCTTTTACAATATTTAATTAATTTCTCTCACCAAATTGACCCAACAATATTAATTCCATATTCTATCTCCTTCAATTCTCTCCACTACTTTTGGTTTTTTACAATTTTTTATTCTTCCACCAACCCTGCTACCTCTATATTTTATTACTTTCTCTAATTTCTCCTAAAACTCCGCGCATGGAGAAATGGAGCAAGTATTTAAAAACGGAGAGAGTATTAATCTGTGCATTGCACAAAGTCAAAACTAGACTTTTTTTTTTAATATTACGTGTATATTGAAATTTTTTCCCTGCAGGCGCATGCACGATGTTTCGTGCATTTAATTTTGTTTAAAAAAAAAGGCGGAATGAACATATAGTTGTTCAGTAAAGAACATTTAGTTGTTTTGTAAAGAACATATATTTATCTTATAAAGAACATCACATATAATTGTTTTGTAATGAACATATAGTTATTTTGTAAAGAACATTTAGCTTTACACTACAAGAAAATAACCTTTTCGTAGCGATTATTTTAACCTTTAGTATCGATTGTAATTGCAACAAAAAGCTTTCCCAACGAATGGTCATTCGATACAATATCCCCCGTTGCCTTAGTCTTTGGTAGTTGTTTTCAATATCGCTGGGGTTGGCCTTAATAATCGATACGAAAAACTACATCCAATCGTGGTGATTATTGTAGCGATTACAATCGCTATAAATGTTTAATTCATTTTCTTCTTCTTCTTCTTCAAAAAAAAAAAAAAAAAAAAAAACCTGCGTATGATCTTTACAAGATTCTAACATGCAACCTCAAATTCTTATATTAAATGTTTCACCAATAAGCTATGACATATTTTATGTATTCTTTGTCAAACAATATTTATATATCTAGTGTTGAAAAGGCTTTTCGTATCGATTTTTAGGATTTAGTGGCGATTGTAAATGATACGATTTCTCAAAATTATATAAATGTGTAAAAATAATGTGGATATGTATTATTATGTTTTCCGCATCGATTTTATATGGGAAAATCATGGCGATTGTAAAATGATACACCTTCCTTAATTAATTCACAAACAAACTTGCATATTGTAGCGAATGTACAATCACTACGAAAAGACATTTTTCTTGTAGTGTTATGTTCTTTATATATATCTAAAGAACATCTGTAATATTAATAAAGAACATGAAAATATAATGTGATGAATATTATTTGTATTCAATCATCATAATCTAAAAACAAAATTTAAAAATACATTTCAAAATAAACAATTTATTTTTTGTCACAAATAAAAGTACATTATACTGACAATCAATGAACATGAAAATAAAGAACATTATTAAATAGCACGCATGTTTCTTTACTCTAGGTATATGTTCATTGTATTTTATTATATTTTTAATAGTAGGTTCTTTTTACTTAAGGTATATGTTCATTGTATTTTAATAGTATGTTCTTTTCATTGTAACTATATAGATATGTTCATTATGTTTCTATAATATGTTCATCCGCTTTATAAAATATGAAAAAGAACATTTTACTGTATTTTAATGTACATTGTATTATTTAGATCTACAACTTTTTCTGAATTTGCTAATTTGTTTGCTTTCTTTTTTCAAAATGTAATAATTGGTCGGTTTTCTTCAAGAACTTCATATAGTTTCTCATTGCAACACCAAAACCACATAAATCACAAATTTACACCAAGAACTTGCAAAAAAACTACTAATCGAACTCAAATTGAACAACTATGCATGTCGAAATTGTACTTACCTTTTGTTTTCGTCAGCCATCTTGAACAATTTTGCACCAAGAAGTTTGAAATCAACAATTTCTTTATTAAGGTTTGATGAATTTGAAGAAGTTTTCATTTTTTTCTTTTTTGTGAGAGAAATCTTGTAGAGAGAGAAAAATTCTAGAGAGAGTATAATTTAAAATATTTTGAATTGAAATTACTGTATGGTAAAAAAATAATTACTATTTATCTTTTTTGCTTTTTTACAAAAAAAGAAGCTCAATATAACTTTTGTACATTAGAATTGAACAATATGTTCTTTCTACAACCATGTACATTATACAACATAATCTACAACCACCCATTAAGTACATATTAAGGAGTGAAAATAAAATTAAAAATACAGGCAATCCATACAAAATTCATTAGTTCCATAGACAATAGTATGTGCTCCCTGATATGGACATAACACTAAAATACCAACATTGGATTAATTAAATAGGCATAATTTATTAAAGTTTTGGAGGTGGTATCCAATACATAAAATCAAGGAAATTTTGACAATTACCACCTTTTGTTATGTCCATTTTAGCAATTACCACCTTCTATTTTTTTTTTTTTTGAAAATTACCACCTTCTCTTTTCAAAAATATCAAGAGTTACCACTTTCTTGCCTCCCAACTACTACATGACGTCATCTTGGGCCCGCCCTTTACCTTCCCTCCCTATTTCCCTCATATTTCTCATTCCTAACTCGATTCTCATCTCCCCTTTCACTTTTTTTTCCCCCAAAACACCAATACTTGCTCATCAATTTTGATTTGGAGGAGTGAATTGAAGTGTTTTTGATATTTTGGGGGAAAAAAGTAAAAGGGGAGATGAGAATCAAATTAGGAATGAGAAATGGGAGGAAAATAGGGAGAGAATGGAAAGAATGTGCTTAGAATGACGTCGTGTGGTAGTTGGGAGGCAAGAAGGTAGTAACTTTTGATGTTTTTGAAAATAGAAGGTGGTAATTTAAAAAAAAAAAAAGAAGGTGGTAATTGCTAAAATGGACATAGTAGAAGGTGGTAATTGACAAATTTTTCTAAAGTCAAATTAAATTATGTGTACATTAATAACAGGACTTGTCTTTGTGGCTCACTATACACCAAAATAAAATTAACATGATACATTAAATGATATTTATATAATAATAAGTGTAGGGAATAGTTTCAAGCCTTTAAAATCCCACTAGCTTGAACCCCACTGTGATCATACACTAAAGTACGGTGGCGTCCAAAAGGGAAGAAGATAGAGCAAAAGAGTTGCCAACAAGTTTTTTAGAAACTTGTAAACCGTTCATAGGATGAAGGTTACACCCCTTAACGATCCAAGGGATCGTCAACTCCATAAGGTCATGAACCAAATAAGGGTTCGGAGATGAAGGTACAAATCCAACCTAAAAGAGATTGAATCTGCCCTAATAATAGGCCTCTACTTTATTCTGATCGTATTCATGTGCGCTTTCTGACTAACATACAATCAATAGGATTAACCCTAAACCTGTTTAATCTATGTTGATTGAATATTAATGCACAAACAAACTATTATTGGCGATCACTTGAATTATAATCAAATTAACCCTAAACAAGATTATTAATTATCTTATTAAGCGTGATTACAAGTACCAATTCCCTTTAAACATGCATAAAAGGTGTGATCAAGGAATAAATAATAAACTTCAAGCAACATAATAAATAATCAACATCATGAATAATAATTATAAATAAAATAATCATCATCAAAATAATAATAACAATAATAATTATAATCATAATCATGTTCATGTTAAAGCATAATAATAATAGCAAGATCCTAGGCATGATACTAACAAGATTAATAACAAACCCTAGCATGTCACTAAACAATAAAAATCAAATCTTTAACCCTAACATGATACTAACAATCATAAATATTAGGAAGAGCATAAGAAGCATCACAACAATCATATTTAATATTAAAAATACCCTAGACATGGTACTAGGAATCATAAAAACAATGTAAACATGATATCTACATCATAAATCAATTAAACCATTAAAGTACTTATTTGGATGCCTCGTACCTCTTTCTAATAACAAAATACACACGTTAGTAACTTCAAGGAAAATAATAATCAAAGTAATTAAATTAAATAATTGAAAGAGAGATTTGGGACCAAACCCTCAGAAATTAATACCTTTCACGTCTAGGGCGAAGACAACTTCGAATATGGCTAGGTGTTTCTAGATCTAATGAATGCGGAATTTTGTATGAAAAAGCAAGAAAGAATTGAATGCTAAAGAATTAATGTTTATTGAGAATTGATGAATGAAAGATGAATGAATTGTAGATGAATACTTAAGAATGAAGAAAATTGGTGAATGAAAACGGAATTTTTAATACGATGTTTATAGAGAAAATCAGCCAAAAAAAGATAATTTAACAAAACAGAGTCTGAAGATCACAAAACAGTATTGGCGCCAACCCTGGCTAGCTGGCGCCAGGCACCAGTGGCTAGCGCCAGGCGCCAATGGCTAGCGTCTGGCGCCAAGCCTGGTTCCAGGCGCCAAGGCCTGGGGTTGGACGCCAGTCTTAATTCCAACGCGTTTTCGAAAATCTGATAAGTTTACCGTACTGGAAGATAAAATAATATAATTCCTTCGAAAATGCTATTTGATCTTGATTAAAACTCTGAAAAGTCCTAATTTAATTAGGAATGAAAAGAACCTTCTAGAAGATTCTAGAAGACCAAAACCATTCCTAATTGCATTAGGAATGATAAATAATATTAGGCCCTCCCCTAGATCATTGGGCCGTACATAAAGCTCAAACCGGGCCCAGTTTAGTAAATTGGCCATAACTTCCTCAATATTCATCGGAATTGGGCTTATAATATATCATTGGAAAGGTCTTTGCAAACCCCATCCAACTACACCACTATTGGACCCATATCATGGACCAACCAAACTGGATTGGCTGTTTTCTTAAAATAAAGTTTTCCAAAACAGGGAGAAGAGAAAAGAAATAAAACTTTCCGCAACACTAGACCTTTCCACACTTTCGTTTCATTCGATTATGATTCGACGTGAAAGATACTCATCACCGGGTTTGGTTTTGGGGAGACACAAATGGGTGTCCACAATAAGCAAAACAAAAAAAAAAAAGAAAAAAAAAAGTTTTATTAGGAGTTATTTCAGCACTTTATTATTATTAAAATTTGATATTCATCTAAATAAAAGTTAAAAACAACTAGCACGCATCTGCCGATTGTGATTGTCTTATTGATGCCTTTGATGGTGATTACTATTGCCCATCGATCGAACTTTCGGCCACTTCATCCAACCGGACCTAAGTCCTACTTCGACAGCAGGAACCAAACAGTTCATGACGAATTTTTTGTGCATAAGCAACATCAACAAAGAGCACAGAATTAAAGTGATGATGGCGATCCAAGGATTGTCGTGGATGGTTGTAACATACACTCCCGTCATGAAAGTGACTAGAGTAGCATAGAATGCCAATAGAAGCAAAAACATGCTGAAATCTATCAACACCACTGATTTTCTTTTATCTGTTGTAGCGACGACCCAAAGCAAACAAAATAAGACCATCATTGATAGGCACATTGCCAATATGTCCGAGATCATAAAAGCTTGAAATGCTGCCTTTCTTATAAATATTGGACTCCCTTTATCTTGGACTAGTCCACCGGGAACTGTAAATGCTGCTGTGAACGTTATTGTCGTGATGAGAGCTGCTACAACACCCATTGTGTTTGCGTATTCACTAATTTGTGATGTAGGAACGCCCCAAATACTTCGAATACCAACAACTAATGCATGTCTCCTCAACAATTCTACAAACTGTTTACCAAAAGAAATATAGGTATATGTTAGAGAAGAGAAAGGAACGAGGACAATTTCTCTTGTACGTTTGGGTAAAAGATATGGGGAAAGAGAGGGAGCCAGGGAGGGATTCATTTTCCCTCTCTTTTTACACATGTCTGGATTGAAGGAAATGGAGGGAAAAGAAGAAAAGGGAATTAAAGGGATGAATTATCTTTTATTTGGATAACAAATAAAAAAACATTAAAGTTTGAGAGAACATAAATTAGATGGAAATATTAAAATGTAAAAAATTGATCTTTTCAATAATGGAGAGATTTAATTGCAATAAATTAAATCTATTTTCAATTGTATTGATCCCACACATGTGCATAAGTTGAGAGTAATTAGTAAGCAACCTTCGTTAAATATTAGTTGCAACTTTGGAACATTTTATACTCCGTATCTCATAAATAATACTCTAAAGTTGAAACTAATATTTAATTAGAGGTAATAAATGAAGCTATAAAAAATTGCAAGTATTATGCATGAATGCATGATTTTACATATAACTAGTGTGTGGCCCGGGTGATGTCCCGGGTTGCTAGTTTGTGCTTGTTGGTTTCAAGTTTAAGTTTTGCTATAAACTTTTTTTTGTTGTCAAACTCAATCATTATATAATGGAAACAAATAGTATAATAAAACACCAATTAACTTATCTAAGTTAACTATAATTTTGTTGGATAAAAAAACACAATTAATAAATGGCTAAGATGGTAAGAGTCGTAACTTAAGACTTGTTGGTGTTGAGTTCAAGTCTTGTTATAAGCATGTCAAACTTAAAAAGGTGACACGCGAAACATATTTTGTTTTAGGAACGCTTTTTAATATATAAGTATAGATATAGATGTGGAAAACTCTTAACACACAAAGCCTTCTAAAGTAGTACAGGTAATGTTAGTTCAATAGGTACTGTAGTAAATAAGATTGAACTTAGTTTTTTGGATACCATGCATACCACCCTTGAATTCAAAACCAAATCAAAGTAAACAAGTTGATCACACCAATATGCTAAAACAACATAGTATAATTAATTACTTACATCTTGCGGAAGATCTGAAATAGATGACAATCGATCGCCGGAAGTGATACCATCTCCGTCTTGTATTTCTAGGAGTTTTATCATCCATTCCGATCTTTTTGTAGATGACCATTCATCAGGTGCACACTGGAGAAAAAGACGTGCATGAGTAAAGCATCGAGATTCAAGCGCCAGATGTAATGGTGTTTTCCCCTCCTTGTTTTGGATTTTAAACAGATCTATCAAATGATATTTTTTTCCAATGTCATTAACGAATTTCTCTATCATGTATGATGGTTGATTGACCAACTTGTGCCAGAGTGTCTGGCCATTAATGTCAACAATTTTTGACGCTTCTGGGTTAAGTTCATCCAATATCTTAACTGTATCTATACCACCAACTTGAACTGCTCTCATAATCGGGGTTAATCCATCCTGATCTCGGCTGATCGCCGCCTCTTCATTTACATTTTGCACTTTCTTTATAACATTACGCGGCCACTGCACTGAATCCATCGTGCTTAATTAGGCCCGGCATGCATGCAAAATACATTATAATAAATATAGAATTTCCTCACAGTAAAGAGGATGCCCCAATTTCTCATGGTAAGAAACAAATTTTGTTTCTCATATGACATTTTTGTAAATAAATCAACAACTTTATTCAACGGTGGAGCTAGGGGTGAAAGTAAATTGGATAAAAACCGAAAACCGAACCAAACCAAACCGAATAAGCAATTCGGTTCGGTTTTTTTCGGTTTTCGGTTTGGATCGGTTTGAAAAAATGGAAATCGAAATATATCGGTTTGGATTCGGTTTTGGGATTCGAAAAACCGAAAACCGAAAACCAAACCGAAGTTTATTAAGCCCACTAATCCCAGCCCATTTTCCTACATATGTAAATCCAAAACCCTAAATTGTTCCCCTCTTTTCCCATTTCCCTTTCACTTTCTCTCGGCACCTTCCTCACCAAATCCCTAGATTTCCCCACTTTTCTCCCTCACCACCTCAATCTGTCCGTCCACCACCACTCTAGAAGTCCACTTAAGGTATCTCACCACCAGTTCTTGTTTCGGTGTTTGTGCTCTCAACGTATCTCAAAGTTGTTCGCTGGCCGCTCGTGTTTCATTGTTCGTTTTCCCTCATATCACCACCACTTCACCGCCGACCACCACCACGTCTCCTCACCACCACCTCTCTGGTCAGTCACTCAAAGGAAATGATATTAGTAAAGAGGTGCAGAAGCAGAAGATTTTATTTTTCTATTTAATTTTTTTTATAACTCAAAGGAAATTATATTAGGAAATGAATAGATCTGAGGTTTTGAGCCAAATTATTGAAGGAATGCATGAAGCAGAAGATCTGATTTATTTATTTAATTTCTTTTTTAATCGGTGGACAAATTTATAATGGTTGATTGTATGTAATTAATTCTCAGTTTAGTTTGTGTAATTTTATGTTTATAATTATAAAGATTGCTTAGTTTTCTTATACTTCAATTTGCATCTGGTAAAAAATTCGGTTTATGGATCGGTTTCGGTTTGCTAATCAGAAATTCGGTTCGGTTTGGTTTGGACCGAATTAAAATTCGGTGTGGATTTGGATTGAAAAATGTAAAACCGAATTATTTCGGTTTGGCTTCGGTTTGGGCCATAATCCAAACCGAACACCGAACTTTCACCCCTAGGTGGAGCCCACAATAATGAAAAAGTTGTTGATTTATTTACGAAAATGCCCCCATAAAAAACAAATTTCGTTTCTCACCATGAAAAATAGGGAATTTCCCCACAGTAACTACTCTAGCTTATGGTCTGTGATACTTGATTATGTTCTTTTTTTTTTATATAAGCATGATTATGTTTTTTTTTTTACATTATGTTTTTTTGATTAACTGTGCCTTTCTACCAAAAAAAAAAAAAAAAAAACATATACTCTATATAACCTCAACTCACCGACGTAAATATCTAGGTTATCCCAGCATTACGATAAATTACAACGATCTAACTCAACTCCATTCCCTCGGAATCTCATAACCACCTCCCCCCAAAGATTTATAATCCATACTACCACTCAAGTATGAGAATCCATTTCATGATTAAACCAAATAACTTTAGATTGGTATGGATAATATATAGGATGGAATAGATACTTACCCAAGGAGCTTCCTACTAGAAGATGGAGAATTGTTTCCTTACGTTTGTTACTCAATCCAAAAGCTGTTCTGCTACTGTCCGAATAAAAGTCTATTAATAACAAAGCAGGTAGAATATGATTTGCTTTAAGTGCTTCATGAAGGGGTGTATTTCCTTCTTTGTTTTGTACCACCAATGGATCATCATACTTCATATGATAGCCCTCTTCTTCTTTTTTTCTGGCATTGGCATAACCTCGATCATTAGCAAAAGAATACACAAATGGTACTAGTAGCTCATATGGAAGAGATGATTTAGTCAATAATGTATATGTAACATCATATGTCGAGGATTGGGTAGTGCTACGATAAATCTTTGTATCAGGAGAATTTTGCATGAGAATGTGAATTGGAGTGTCCCCGTTAATGTCTGTTTGAGCACTAAGTATCGGATGTGTATTAACAACTTGTTTGATGAAATCCAAATATTCATCATATTTTATTGGAGTTCTCCGTTCTAACCGCATCAAGTTATGAAGCACATTTCTTTCCTTGGAATCTCGAGAGGACAAAAAATTTATTCCATACTTGGATATTTTCTCCTGTATAGACCGGATAGTCACCCCGTCGATTACTCCATATTCTTCCAATGTCCTCTTCTTCATCTTTTTCATCTGCATTGTACAAGTCATCAGCTCATCACCATTCCATGCAATTGCAACTTAGATAGACTAATAATTAACCAATAAATAATAATTAAAAGGGAAAATACACTTTAATAATCCCAACTATGGGCGATTTCCCTACAATAATCCCAACTATCGTTTATTTTACAATAATCTCAACTATTAGGTGAGTTTTCCTGCAACAGTCCCAAAAACCGGTTACCTGCTGAAAGGGTAATTTTTTTTTTGTTTTTAAAATGACACATGTCAGTACATGAGTGGCCTAATATTACAATAAAAATTAAAAAAAAGAAGGAAAAAAAAATCATCCCAACCGCCCCTAGCCCACCGGCAACCGCCACCAATCCTTAGCCAAAACCTCCAGACCACCGGAAAATGGTCGGCGAACCCGCAGACCACCGGAAAATAGCTGGCGGGCCCTCCCAATCCCCAAGACCACCAGCCACGATCCACCCCAACCCCAATTGCTCCTCCCGCACGGCCAGCGATGCCAATTACTCCGATCCTCCCGCACGGCCAGCGACGCCTACGCAACCACAACCCCTCCTCACCGCCTGCTCGCTGCCAAATCGCCGCGAGCTTGCCGCAACTATAGCCGCAAAAACCCAGTCACCAATCGCAACCAAATCCACCGCCTCCAAAACCACCACGCTATCCTCCGCCTCCAAAACCGACCTTAATAGCCACCTTCTCCACCCCAAACGCCACCTCCACCTCTTGCCTCAAGCCCCAAACACCACCTTCTTCGATTTCAGTTGAATTTAGGGGACTTTTTCAAGCATTTATGTCGGTTATTTTGGTGCGATTTGGGGCTGCTGGTGGTTTCTCAGGCAAGGGGTAGGTATTTTGGCCGGTTTCGAGGGTGCGGCTGGTCGTGGGAGTCGTTTCCGGCTTGGGGGGCTGGTGAAGGTGGTGTTTTAGGGTTGTGGCAGGAGGTGGAGGTGGTGGTTATGGCTGGAATGGAGGCTGCCAGAATTTCGTTTTTGGTTTTTTTTTTTTTTTGGAGCTACTCACACGCTGACACGTATCAAACAATCTACAATAATAGGTTATTGACTTTTGTTGAACGGTTTGGGACTGATGGAGGAAAACTGACCTAATAGTTGGGATTATTGTAGAATAAACGATAATTGAGATTATTGTAGGTAAATCGTCCATAGTTGGGATTATTAAAGTGTATTTTTCCTAATTAAAAAATTAAAAAATTAAAAAGGTAAGCTTTTATAATTTTAACAAAACAATTATACAGAGTACCAATGATAAAAATTATAAATAAATAAATAAATAAATAACTTGGATTTATTTTTTATTTGGATGGGCAACAAGAAAAGAGTTGTTGTAATGTTGAAACGATATACTAATTGCGTAATTCTCATAAAAGCTATCTAACCTGATCAAAATCAATTGGTTGGTGAGCATGAGATGTTGAAGTAGTGGAGGAATGGCATAGAAGTCGCGCCATTTTAAAGTTGGATTTCCAAGCTAAATCTAATGGTGTGTTTTCTTGGTTATCCTTGACATCCTTAAGGCGACCAATTTGTGGAACTTGCAGCAGCTTTTTGCCTTGTTGGTAGCTGTATACCCTATCTATCAAAAAATGTAATATGGTTTTGCCATCATTTTTATCAACCACCTCTGCAGACTCCGGGCAAAAATTTCTGACATAAAACTTCCCACTTTCATCAAATTCAAGGAGCAGCATGAAAATGTGGATGTTGCCAACCTCAGCTGTAACATGAAAAAGGGTGTCACCGTGGTTGTTCCTCTGATTTATCAGCTTATCAATTATTGATGTAGGCAACAGCATCTTTGTAACTTGTTCTATAAATTCATATTGCTCTGATCTGATTGCTATGTGAAGGATATCGTGTCCACTGGAGTTTTGTCCCACGAAATAATTGCCATTTTCAATTTCTTTGTTTCGTGCTTCCTTAAGAAACCCTACGTCTCCCTTCTTCGCGGCATTCTCAAGGTGCACCTCCAAGGAGTATTTTGGATTGTTCTTGTCTTGCAGATTTAGTATTTTTTGCCCTTCAAAAAAAAAAAAAAAAGACTCTCAGTCGTCTATCATTCTTCTCTTCTATCATATGGCATGGCCAATTCACAAGTTCACAACTAGCTATTTCATCAGCAACAGTATCACCCTTAAAAATTCTTCTGTATTCATTAATTACGGTCAACTATGTTAATTTTTTTATTTTTGAAAACAAGATGCAAAAGGAACCTTCGGCAGGCTTTCCCACGAGAGCCGGACATGTTCCCTAACAGGTACATGAAGTGTTCCCTAACAGGTACTGACAGCAAGCTAAAGTGTGAAGCTTGGACAGCGAAGATGACAACAAGTTCTAGAAAGGAACCTGGTCTGCGAGTTCCAATAAGGGATGAAAAGAGTGACAGCAAGTTCCAGTTAGGAACTTGGTCTGCGGTTCCAGAAGTGGAACGTTGCCCCAAGATCTAGAAGACACCAAGACTACAAGATTCCAGAACAAGAGTTACAAAGAAACAACATGAAGACGGAGAAATCGAAGAATATCGCTCTAGGATTCATGTAAGTATGTTGGACATAAAAGTCAGTCTGGAACAAGTCTAAAGAACCTAGGTGAACTCATGATAGTCAATGAAAGTAGAGTTACTGACTTGTCAGGAACTCGAAGACTGTAAGAGTTCCGGAACCTAATCGGAACTTAGGTCTGCACGTC